AAATAAATAAACAAATACACAAGAAGCTGGGGGGGGGGGGAGCTGGTTACAACTTTTTAACAACAAGTTAAAAAGTTGTAAAATAATTTTCCAAAGATAAAGAGTTAATCCACCAGAACAAAGCATGAGATAGTATTAAGAGCCGGGAGGTAAATCGAAAGCACTCTGAGGGCTGGAGGATGATGTTAGGGAAGGCTTTTCTGAGAAATGACACTTGAGCTGAGTTTTAGATGATGATAAGAAGGAGCCACCCATGCAAAGTTTGGGGGAAGAAGCTTCCCAGGCAGAGGGGACAGTGCCCACAAAGGCGGTCCTGACGTGAGAACGAGCTTGGTCTATTCCAGACACAGCCGTGAGGCCAGGTGACTGGAGCAGAGGAGGCAAGGAGGAAGGTGGTAGAAAATGACATAGGAGAGAGAGCGGGGAACCCCGCAGATGAGGGACCGGACACCAGGCTTTATTCTAAGTGCAGCGGAAAGCCATTAGGAGCATTTATGAATGGCACAATCTGGTTTAGCATTGCAAGGCTCCCTCGGCTATAGGATGCAGAATGGATTGTGGGGGACAGGAGTGGGGGCAGGAGGCCCGCGAGGAGGCTGTTGCCATCACCAGTGAGACTTGATGGCGACAGCAGATACTCTTCAGCCTGGGGCCTTCTACTGGGAGGGAGCCAAACCCAGGTCAGTCCCCAGCTAAGGCTCCAGATGGACCAAGTAGCAAAGTCATGGCTTCTGGGCAGACAAATCAGACAGGAAGTCTCCACTAGAGCAGTGCAGCTCTTTGGGGAAGGCTCTAACTGGCTTTCCATTAGGCATTCATTTGTGGTACCAAACATTGCACAGAGCCATATCTCCGTGGCAAGGAGCAGAAAATCCCCAAGTAAAAACAAGCCTGAAGTTTCTGCTGTCCTGTAAAGCCCAGGACTGATGTGCTCCCGGTGACAGGAATTCAGGGTCCTATGTCAGGGTTCCTCAACAGGGGCGTCACTGACATAGAGCAAGGTAATTCTTTCTTGTGTGGTACTGCTGTGTATTTTTTAGGATGTGGTTCCCAGCCACCAAACATCATAGCGCTCCCCGGTCCTTGTGACAATCAAAACAGCCTCACAGGTTTCCAGCAACACAGGTGAGGTGGAGGGTTCACACCACCCCCAGTTGAAAGCCATTATTATTTTCTTCCACCTTGTGTGGTCTCCATTCCAAAGCTCATTTCATCATCCAAAACGGCTGCTTGAGCTCCGGCTTTTATGTCCACATCACAGCAAGCAGGCAGGAAAAGAGGAAAGGACACCAATTCTCCTTAAGGACTCTAAACTTCTAAACTTCGGGACTCTGAGGACTCTCTTTAACTTCCTGGAAGTTAGTTGCATATTCCACGTCCTCCCGCACCCCACTGGCCAGAACCATCGCCATATGGGCATGCTTAGCTGCAAAGGAGGATGGGAAATGATTTCAGGCAGCAGATGCCCAGCTCACATTCACCAGTGCTGGCACTGAGAATGACAGGGAGGCCGTCAGCCGTAGGAGGGCAGAGGTGGTGTCCATCTTGGTCCAGTGCCCAGAATAGTGTCTGGCACACAGCAGACATTTATATGTCAAATGCATGCGTGGATGTGGGGGAGCTCGGGGACTCACTGCATGCTGGACACCGCACAAAATGGTGTTCAGTTTACTGGAGAAGGTGGACCGGCAGGTGACCGTAGCACAGTGGTGCGTGCTCCAGTGTTGTGTATCCATCAAGGACACCGTCATGGGAATCAAGCAGGCCTGAGCCCAAGTGTGGACTGAGACCAGTCCGCTTACTAGCTGTGTGACATTGAGGCAGACAGTTTAACCTCTCTGTGCCTGCACCTGTCCCCCGGCTAAAACGGGGGTCATACCAATACCTTCTGCCTTACAGGGCTGTTGTGAGGATTACTGAGAGCGCCTAGCACAGTGCTGGCCTGGAGTAAGTGCTTTATAAATGTTAAATAGTGTTAACTTGTTTTTAGAGGTAAGTGCTGAGGGTTCTGCGGGAACATAGAGGAGGGGGTCTCTCATCTAGCTTTGGAGGCTGTGGAATCAAGGAAGCCTCCCTGGGAGAGGGGACACCTGAGTTTTGACTGAAAGAACAGTTACACACAGGGAAGGATGTTCTTGATGAAGGAGACAGCATGTGCAAAGCCAGAGGTTAGGAAGAACAGGGTTTAGGGCTTGTTCAACTTGTTCAGCGAAGCTGGGGTTGGTACAGGGGCAAGAGGGCTTAGAGGCAAAGCTGCAGGGGACATCAAAGGTCAGGGCTAAGAAAAGTGGCTTTGTCCAGGGGGTACAGGTGAGACACTGAAAGTTTTCAGACAGGGGTGAGGGAAGAGAGGCAGAGCAAAGGCAAGACATCAGACAGCCAACCCCACCACATCTATTTGAGATCAGGCCAGCGGAGGTCAATCATGTTCTCGTGGCCTCATCAACCAGCGCCGGATGTGGGGGTGAGGGAGGCCCACCACGGGACCGGAGGCAGGGATGGGGTGTAGGTGAGCATGGGGGTGGGCTGCGGCATCACCCTCCCTCTTCCCCACCTGCAGCTTCGGGGTGCTGCTCTGGGAGCTGCTGACGGGTGAGGTCCCCTACCGTGAAATCGACGCCTTGGCCGTGGCATATGGCGTGGCTATGAACAAGCTGACGCTGCCCATCCCCTCCACGTGCCCCGAGCCCTTTGCCCGCCTACTGGAGGGTGAGCCAGGGCCCTGTGGAGATAGGCTCAGCTTGGGTGGCAGGGGCCCTCGGGCCAGACCTCACCCCTTCACATCCATCCATACCGGTGGGCCCAGGAGTGAGGGAGAAGGGGCTGCAACCATTGGACCACAAACTGTCTCCCCTACAGTTGGCTCTGTGTCCCCCAAACTGTTGTTCCAGCCAGGCCCACAGCCCTTGAGGGCACCTGTTAGCATTCGCTGGCCCTGGGATTCTTCCCTGATCCTTGATTCTGCCACAAGTGAGGGAGCAGAAGCCAGGTTTCACTGTAATGTTGCCAGGAATTTGGCTTTGAATTCCTTCCCTCAGTTCCATGGAAGTTGTTTGTCCACAGTCCCCTGAAGTCCTGTCTTCCACAAAGCAGGGTGATGCCCTAGAGCATGGCCACTGACCTCTCCACCCCCACTGCTGTCCCCCCCACCCCCACCCCAGAATGCTGGGACCCAGACCCCCATGGGCGGCCAGATTTCGGCAGTATCTTGAAGCAGCTTGAAGTCATCGAGCAGTCAGCCCTATTCCAGATGCCACTGGAGTCCTTCCACTCGCTACAGGAAGACTGGAAGCTGGAAATTCAGCACATGTTTGATGACCTCCGGACCAAAGAGAAGGTGAAGGCAGGGGGCACAGTGGGAGGGATGGAGCAAGACCCCTGCATTTCTGATGCCTTTGGTGGGGCACAGTCCCTTCCCCTGAGCCCCAGTCTTTGGGTCCATGCAGAGCTAAAGGGGCCTTTTTTGCGTATTAAGAAAGGGGCCTGTTGGCAGATTAATAAGAAAAAGGCACCCTGCACTGATGCTCTTACAAGTGATACTGCCTGATGTCTGGGATTGGTTTAAATTTTTTTTTTAATTTTTTAAGTTTATTTACAAACTGGGTGCAAAGAGAGCACGCAGGGGAGGGGCAGAGAGAGAGGGAGAGAGAGCATATCCCAAGCAGGTTCCGCACTGTCAGACTCTGCACTGTCTGCACGGAGCCTGACACAGGGCCTGAACCCACGAACTGTGAGATCATGGCCTAAGCCAAAATCAAGGGTCAGATGCTTAACTGACTGAGCCACCCAGGCACCCCTAAATTTTTTTTAATGTTTTATTTATTTTTGGCAGACAGAGTACAAGCAAGGGAGGGACAGAGAGAGAGGGAGACACAGAATCTGAAGGAAGCTCTGTCTGCACAGAGCCAGATGCCGGGCTGTAACTTGTGAACTGTGAGATCATGACCTGAGCCGAACTCAGACACTTAACTGACTGAGCCACCCAGGCACCCCTGAGATTGGTTTTAAAACACAGCAGCAAAAATGGGAGGGAGGGAGAGAGGGAGGAGACAAGGAAGAAGATACATGAAAAAAGGTTTGCTAAGTAAAAAGAGTTGTTTAGGTGGAATGATGAGAATTGGGGGCACTATTCTGTCTCTGCTTTGTGGATGTTTGAAGTTTTCCGAATTGAAGAGTCAAAAACTTAAAGGTGAAAACTAAAACCACCCCTTTCTTTGGGCTAATACAGCCTGGAGCACCGGCGCCCAGCTTGGCTGGTGAAGAGTGAGTTGGATTGTGCCCCCAATTTGCCCCTTAGCAGGACGCCCTTGTGCTGTGCCCCAAGCAGACCCAGTAGCCCCCAGGTCCATCCCCAAGCGGCTGACAGGTGAGCCCCTCGCCCCATCTTCTCTCCAGGAACTCCGGAGCCGTGAGGAGGAGCTGCTGCGGGCGGCCCAGGAACAGCGCTTCCAGGAGGAGCAGCTGCGGCGGCGGGAGCAGGAGCTGGCCGAGCGCGAGATGGACATCGTGGAGCGTGAGCTGCACCTGCTCATGTGCCAGCTGAGCCAGGAGAAGCCCAGGGTCCGCAAACGCAAGGGCAACTTCAAGCGCAGCCGCCTGCTCAAGCTGCGGGAAGGCGGCAGCCACATCAGCCTGCCCTCCGGTACCGCCCACACGCCTTACGCGGCCCCCAGGGGCTGCTGGGAGCATTCCTAACACGGGGTTTACCTCCTCCTCCTATTTTTTTGAAAACTTTTCTATTGCTGAATGTATCACACATGTGGAAAGGGGCCAGAAACCCATCTAGCTTACTGAGTTAGTGTAATCACCCCCACCCAAGCAGAGAGAACCCACAGCCACCCCACATGCCCCGCCACGCGATCCCTCCCAGCACAAACCCCCGGCTGCCCGCCAAGAATAAGGGCATTCACGTCCTTACTTTTTAAAAATTGTTACTGTTTTGTCTTCTATTTTTTTAAATCTTTTAATCAGCTTTTTTTCCCCCTTGCATCGTTTATTCTGCAGCACTTCCCACAGTCTGGAGGCTGCTGCTTGCGTCTCCCCAGTATGACTTACCTTGTCCTCTGTCCCCTAAATTTCCTATTAACTGGTATTAAGTTAAACTATGTGAAACTGCTGATGTCCGGCCCTTTTTGACCAAAACCAAAACAAGTTTCATGTGGATCAACCCAATAGGTTTGTCTCAAGGTATAATCAGTTTCAAGTTCGCGTTGGGTCTCTTCCCCACCCCCACCGCCCAAAGATTGCTTCTTAGGTAACAAGACCCCGCTCACCCATCATAAGACACATGATGTCTGCTCAACCCTCTCTTTGTAATGTTATAAGCCATCATGCAGTGACCAGCACAGCACTGGCCAACAGATATCTAATGCAAGCCACATGGCTAATTTTAAATCTAGTAGCCACCTCCAAAAAAAAAACAAATGGAAAAGGGAAAAAATGGAAAAGAAACAGGTGAAATTGACTTTAACAATATATTTTATTTAGCCTGATATATCCAAAATGCTACAGTGTCACATGTATCAATACAAGAAAAATTGTTAGAGATTTTTAACCTCTTTTTTTCACGCCCAATCTTTGAAATCCAGCGTATATGTTATGGTTACAGTGTACCTTGGTCCAGATGCTTAATTTTCCTCAAAAATACTTGACCTGTATTTGGGTTTCGTGAAATTTATAGTTGAAAAAAAGTTGATTCACATCCCCAAGATTTGCATGCTTAAATGTTTTCAATAACCGAACTGAGGATCCATTTTTAAGTTTAAATTTAAATTTAAATATTTATATTTAAATATTATAAATTTATAATATAATATATTTATATATATAAATATATATATTTATATATTTATTTAAATATAAATAATATAATTTATAATATTATATTATAAATATAAATATTTAAAATTTAAATTTTAAGTTTAAATTTAGATTAATTGCGACTACACAGATAGGTTCAAACTCTCCAGCGGCTCAGATGCAGTGGCCACACTGCAAGTGCTCAGTGGCCACTTGTGGCTAATAGCTGCCACGCTGGACACTTAGGCCTAGATCTGTAGTCAATCCTTAGTTAATTAAGGACCCCATTAGGATCCTTCCTCCCCAATTCAAGCATGCGCCCGAGGTCTCTGGAGGGCTCATCACGGTTACATGGCTGTGCTTCACCCCAGAGCTGCTGACTCAGAGGGCCTGAGAGTGAGTGCTGCCCCTGAGGTTTGCAGTTGACGTGGATGCCGCCGCTCTGGAGACCATAGTTTGCGAACCCCCGTTTAAGGAATGAAAACAGTGGCGTTCCATTCTGGCATTCCTTCTATCCCACAAAGGGAGCTTCTCCAGTTACCCATGGAGCATCTTGCTCAGGAAAGTCTCTTTCTTTCCACAGGCTTCGAGCATAAGATCACAGTCCAAGCCTCTCCAACCCTGGACAAGCGGAAAGGATCCGACGGGGCCAGCCCCCCTGCAAGCCCCAGCATCATCCCCCGGCTGAGGGCCATTCGCCGTGAGTATCTCCCAAGGCCCTGACCAGTCAGTAGTCCACAACGTTCTGTGAACATTTACTGGGCACCGAGCTGGAGGAACAACAGGGACAAGACAGGCGGGGTCCCCTCCCTCATTCTCATCAGGGGTCAACAGACACTAAAGTGGTACATATACTATAGTGATAAGCTCTACAAAGGAAAGCAGGGAAGGGAAATAAAAGAGGAGAGGTGCTGTTTTACATCAGGAAGGCCTGTGTAGGGAGCTGGGGTTTGAGCAGGGACCCGGGTGGTAAGAAGGAGCGAGGAGGGTCAAGATCCGAAAGAAGCGTGTCCCTGCAGGAGGGAACAGCAAGGGCCAAGGCCAGGGGTGGGAATAAGCAAGGCATGTGTATGGTCCTGGGAGGCCAGCTCGATTGGACTGGAGTGAATGGCAGGGAGAGGAGTGGGTTTGTGGTCAAGGTTGCAGGGGGCCAGATCTTGCTGGGCCTAGAGAACCGGGCTCGCTAAGGAACCTGAACTGGATTTTATTCTAAATGCGGTAGGGGCCGTGAGCCGGGCAGTAATGTGATAAAACGCACCTTGTCCCTCCGGCTGCTGTGAAGGGTGTGGACTGTGGGAGGCTGGAGCGATAGGGGAAGACAGGAGACAGGGGGAGCGGACCGGACTGGGGCTGTGGGCGGGAGATGGGGCTACGCGGCAGAGGCACAGCCAGCCCGGTTTGCTGATGGGCAGGATACGAGGCTGATCCCCTCAAATCTGTTCTGCCCCATCGGTCACCCCTGGCTTTGCCCCACATATCACCCCCTTCACACCTCTGTCGGGACCCCTGCTTGTACCAGGCCCCAGAGGTCATTCTCATGGGGACACCAACAAAGACAATGACCATATGGTGACAGTACTAATGTCAGGGTACTTTCAAAGTGTGGAAATGAGAGCAGTAGACTCTCCAGGGAACAAACTCCTCCAGAGCTGGAGGCTTGAAGGGAAAACTGGCAACGAGGCTGGGAAAAGGACTGAAAGGAACAGAGTTCCAGGTGAAGGGAACAGCCTGTGCAAAGGCATGGAGGTGTGGAAACACCCACCTGGGAAATGATGGACATGGGGTCCCAATCAAGGCCTCATTGCCTTCTGCCTGCATACCCAGACTCCACTTCCTCTCTCTCCTCCTTTTCTCCCTCCCTCCACACCAGCCCCACAGGCCTCCTGGCTGCTCTAAACACTCTAGGTATGGCCAGCCACAGGGCCTTGGCATAAGCTATTCCCTCTGCCTGAAATGCTCTTCTTCCTTGTATCCACTTGACTCACCCCCTCACCTCCTTCGCATCTTTGCTCAGATTCTTCCTTGTCAAACATGACTTTTCCTACCTCTCAGACTCCTTTCCTGCTCCGTCTCCCTCACAGCACTTACCGCCTGTCAACTCCCTACACAAATTACTCACCTAGTATGATTCTTGTTGGTCATCTGTCTTCACCCCTAAAATGTAAACTCCCAAGAGCAGGGGGTTTTGTCAGCTTTGCCCACTACTGTCTTCTCAGCACCTCCCATGGGGCTTGGCATATGGCAGGTGCTCAGCAGACATGTGGGAATGAATAGACGGCTGATGGGCTTGGCTGTGAGGAGTGACGGGAGACAAGGCTGAGGGAAGGCAGGGAAGTACATGCAGAGCCTCTACTGCCAGGCTGAGGAGCTAGGACCTTGTCCTGACAGCAGTAGGGAGCTATGGAAGGATTTAGAAAAGGGAAGGGTTGAAGATCCCTTGGACTTCTGGTGGACAGTGGATGTGAGAGTGAGGGGGGGAGCCCAGTGGGGACAGACTGTCCAACACCCAGTAACCAAGTGGCTTTTCTTGGCCCAGTGACTCCCGTGGATGGCGGTGGCAGCAGCGGTGGTGGCAGCGGTGGTGGCAGTGGGACATGGGGCCGCAGCGGGCCCCCAAAGAAGGAAGAGCTGGTTGGAGGCAAGAAGAAGGGCCGGACCTGGGGCCCCAGCTCCACCCTGCAGAAGGAGCGGGCTGGAGGGGAGGAGAGGTATAGGCACTGGGAGCCCACCCCTGGCCCTGCACGTTGCCCCCCGGCCCAGGCAGCCAGAAGGCCTGCATTGCAACCGTCCCTATCTCTGGCGCCCCCTGCAGGCTGAAGGCCCTGGGGGAAGGAAGCAAACAGTGGTCATCCAGTGCCCCCAACCTGGGCAAATCCCCCAAACACACACCGATCGCCCCAGGCTTCGCCAGCCTCAATGAGATGGGTAAGAGGGTGAGGGTGCCTTTAAAATGGAGAGGGAGGGGCATCCAGAGGGAAACAGAACTCAAGACGAAGAGGTGACCATCCCCCCACCTCCCCCCGCACTGGGAGGAGGAATCGATTTCACTGGACCAGTGGGTAGGAAACATTCCCAAAATGGGGGAAGGGCAGCCCCAGGGTGCAGGGTCATTCCTAGAGGCTTTGGGAGGAGAATGATTTGAGAACCACGTTTAATGGGACTTGGTGGCCTCACTGCCAGAGGGTCTTTCTGGGTAGCCCCTTGCCCACCAAGTCTCCGGGGGCGGTGGGGGCTGCGGCCAGGTCAGCCCTGGAGGCGATTGACGGCCCTCTCCCACTTGCAGAGGAGTTCGCGGAGGCGGACGGAGGCAGCAGCGTGCCTCCCTCCCCCTACACCACCCCGTCCTACCTCACGGTGCCGCTGCCGGCCGAGCCCTCCCCGGGGGCGCCCGCGCCCCTCTCCCGGCCCGGGCACGGCGGCCGGCGGCGCTGCGAGCTGGCTCTGCTGGGCTGCGCCACGCTGCTGGGCGCCGTGGGCCTGGGCGCCGACGTGGCCGAGGCGCGCGCGGCCGACGGCGAGGAGCAGAGGCGCTGGCTCGACGGCCTCTTTTTCCCGCGCGCCGGCCGCTTCCCGCGGGGCCTCAGCCCGCCCGGGCGCTCGCCCGGTCGCCGCGACGACGCGGCCCC